TTTTTTTTTTTTTTTTTTTTTTTTTTTTTTTTTTTTGTTAATCTCGTTAGAATATAATGTGAAGATAAGATATTTGGAAATCAAAAAACTCTATATTAGTATTACATAACAATATTATCAGAATTCCATATAAATAAATAATATTTTTTATTTTAATAATAATTTTATTATATTAGTTTGCTGTAGATAATTATGATGGGTTAGTTTACTTTTATTAACTGAAATTATTAAATATATTTTGACTAATTAGAATTTAATTTGATTGGATTGAGCAGTAAAAGCTGACCCACCTAACCCTGTAGGGATTTGGAGTTAAATAACAAATATTAAAGTATAACTCAAACTGAACCAATCAGTTGTTTTTTTCTTTTTTTTGGGATTGCGGCTGCCAACCGAAAAAGTGGAGGCCAAGTACGCGCCACAATATTGGGGGTACTGCCTTCAGCCTTGTTAAATAACAAATATTTCCTTTATTTGATTCTACCCACTATTTGTTTTTTTCTTTTTCTTTTTTCATAAAAAATTAAACCATAAAATTTAATCAAATTATCAATTTGGATGTTTATGTTAGTTTAATTTTTAAATTTTCTTAAATATTAATTTAAAATTTATATTTAATAAACTCAAAAATAACATCCATGTGGTAAATCTTTGATGTGGTAAATCTTTGATGTGGTTCAAAGATGAATGAAGACGGAGACTAATAAATATATGTATCTGAGTAAAGAAAGAGTACATGAATAAATTGAGATCTCATCCAATTAAATTTTCCTTCTTAACATTTTTGCTTTTAGTTTTTCAATTATTTGATTTGTAGTATATATATATTAGTTTAATGGACTGAAATGACTGTAATTTTCAATTGAAATTTATATATTTTATATATTTTTATCTTAGGTTTCTAAGAATGAATCCAATTAGAATGAAAGTCAAGTCCCCACAGGTCCAAGAAAAAGAATTATAAGTATGAAATTGTCACGATCTGATTTTCGAGGCTTCGAAAGACCGAATCGTGACTAACAGAATGAAATTGAAAATAAGTAAAATTTAAAAGAATATAAAATAGGTGACGAAAATCTAACAAAATTTAAATCAAGAAAAAGGAGTCAATGACACCCAAATTAAATACAAAATTAAAGTCAAATATTACAAATGTGAAATATAATTATGAAAGAAAAATGCAAAAGATTCTATAAGACCGATAAGGTATTGACGCTCCAAAACGACACCCCTCTGTGACAGTGCAGCTCTCGAACACCTCTCCACTTCGACCGGTACTTGAAAAAAAAAAGAAGGGGAAAGAGGGTGAGTATAAAAATATACTCAGTAAGCAACTTACTTGCTCTTAATTGCAAAGTTAAGGAGAGAACCACTAACTATACTCTAGACCCTAGAGTATCAATACTCTCAGTACACAATTGAGGGCGGAAGAACTTAACTTTTAAAGCGATATTCAACGTTTGAGGATGAAGTGCTCCCTCATAACTACATGTATCACTTGTACAACCCAATTAGAATTAATCACTGCATGGTCAATGTCCTTCCACAGGACGAACCCATCATGCAGGCGACCTTGACCCACTCGCATGATCAACATCTTATCATGAGACAGATCCCCATGCAGAGTAGTCGATCTACCACTGAGTAACACTTCCCTAACAGGCGTCTCATCAAGCTCAACAGTACCACACCAGAGTAGGAAGGGAAGAGTAACACGTCCCTAATTGGCGTCTCGCCTAGCTCAACGGTACCACACTGAAGTAGGAAGGGAAGAGTAACATCTCCCTAACTGGCGTCTCGCCTAGCTCAACAGTACCACACCGGAGTAGGAAGGGAAGGGTAACATCTCCCTAACTGGCGTCTCGCCTAGCTCAACGGTACCACACCGAAGTAAGAAGGGAAGCAGAGCATACTCAAACGCTATACCAGATATTGTCGGCTAAGAGGTCATCTCTATTCGGGGGCCTAATGTGGTTCTCTATATCTCAAGGGTAGTTAAAACTATTGAGTTAGGGACCCTAGCTTCCAGATTCACTCAATCAAAACTTCCAAGCCCATAACAGACAAGGGTTAAGGGTCTCTCCCTCTAAGCGTCGCTCATGACACCTTAGATTGTAACATCAGGAGGGTCCCCTAACTTATCCCAGCTAAATCCCTACAGGAGTTCACCCTAGGCATATCACAACACTGCAACTTAACAATTATATCTTAAGTTCAATCCCTACAAGAGTTCACTCTCGGCATATCACGACACTATAGCTTATCAAGCATGTCATAAGTTCACACAATCATTCAAGAGGAGTTTATGTATGATTAACAACACATACAACCATACAAGCTCAACGGGGCGATATGACCCATCAACACCCAGAGCGCAGATACACAAATCCTCCAGTCCACCAACACAGTATGAACAGATAAAAGCAGTAGTAGAAAGATAGTCCAGCAAGCATACAAACATTCAGTACGAAATCTCATAAAGGCAGTAAGTTCAACAAATATATATTTGACTTCATAAATATAGAGGATCATTAGATCTGGCCACCTAGGGATAATTTGTTCTAGCATGCATGCAAAACCAAGCACACCCTGCAAGTATTACTTCCTAAATCCATATGGTTACTTGTAAGGATGAAGCATGCTCTTCAAAGCTTTTTTTTTTTTTTTTTTTTTGGCTAATTAAGAGCTCCAAAACTCTTGAAACTTCATTAATAGGTCCTAAGTCAAGTTAGACTTAGAAGATCAGTATCAAAATCGGGAAAAATAGTCGAACCGAAGTTAAATCGGGATAAAAATACTCTCACATGCTATTTCACGCGCCCACGCGCCGGAGGGATTCCCACACGCGCATACGGACGTGCTGAGGGGATGGAGTCGCGCGCTGATGTGTCGCCACGTGGCGAGGGATGAATGGTTGACTGAGAGGCAGGGCGTGCGTTCAAATCTGGACGCACGCGGGTTCCTACGAATTTTCCCACGCTGACGTGTGGCAAATGCGGGACACGGGTTCGGGTTGCGCGCAGGTTCACGGATCTGGTAGCGGGCGCTGGTCTTCAAACCCTACCTGACGCAGTATTTTTCGTAATTTTTCCTCCGCTATTCCACGCCTGATACGTGTCCCGTTTTCTCCGCGACTCGTGGCCCTCTCCATTCCTGACACGCGTCCCTTCCTCTCATCTCTGCGATTTTCCAGATTCCCGTCAAATTCTATATAAACATATTTATTTTAGATTTTTCTATCTTCCAAATCTTAACTCGAATTAAAGGTAATCGACAAGAATTGCATCATCATTCGCTGGAATCGAAATATCTGCGAGATCCGGGTCACAAGTCCACCTATCCAAATATATTTTTACTGTATTTTTTTTATACTCTTTAATAAATGAAGTTGAAAACCGAGAAAAATTCAGTTTCTTACCATAGTAAAATGGTTTCTAGATTTTGTTTTTCAACGTGATTTTTGGCCGAGTTTCCTCTTAAAACTTGTAGGACTCCTCATCTAAAGTGTTGCAACTAGATTATTAAGGTCTAAATCATTTAAAACTCCGAGTCTATCGTGAAATCTTGAAACAGGAGAGGTCACGGATTTATCTCGTGTTCTTGCTTGTTTCTTGCCGGGAAACGAACGATCCAACGCTCAGACCACTCCTCTTGATATTCTAAGTAGTTCTAGTATGAGACGTAAGATTGAGGGTGCTTGAGTTTGGGTTTGAGGCGTTTCTCCTCCTCCTTCCTCTTCTTAAAAAAACCGAACTTGTTCATTTCTCTTTCTCTCTCTAATTTTTTTTTCTTTTATTTTCCTTTTCCTTTTTTCCATGTCGGTATGTGTGGCGCAAAATTACCTTTTTGCCCCCGTTGACTTTGACCCAAATTTCAATTACATTACTATTTTTTTTTAATTTTTTCATCTCCCGAGTTTCTTTCTCCTGCACTGATATGAAAATCGTCCTCCAATAAAATCTAGAAACTCAGTTAAGAAGGTGCTAGTCACAAGGATCGAGCGTGGGCTCGAGGTGTTATAGAAATAGAAGGGGAAAAAAAATATTAAGACACAAAACAAAATATAGAGGAAAAAAAAAATATTTTGGAGGAAAGTTGAGTGAAAAAAAGAAAGAAAAAATAGTATTTTAAAATTGAGAGTATAAAAAAAATAAAAAAATAGATCAACTTAATTCATGTGATTTGGAGAAATGAAAAAATTTATAGATTAAATGAACTTGTTCGAGTTATTGAAAATTAAATTAGATTGAATTAAAATAACGGTTAATTAAATATATATATATATATATATATATATATATATATATATATATTCTTTATAAGTTTCTCTTGTGAAAATGTTTGCAGAAAAGTTACTGAGGAAATGAGTAGGTGTTTACTCTTTTTTTTTTTCCCCTTTTTTTCTGGAATAAAACCTACATTTTTATATTAGTTTGTTAATAAAATAATTATATCCCGACAAAAAATGTCTTTTGTAGCTTTAATCGCTACGTCTTCACATTCTTTAGTTTTTTTTTTTCTCCTTCTTTCTTCACCTGCTTCTCCTTCTGTCTCTATCTCTTTGGTATGCAGTTTTTGTGTTTTCCCTCTTCTTCAAACTTTATTAAGATATGCTTTCCCCTTCTTCTTACCCTTGCCTTCTCATTGCTTCCCCTTATACCAATTATTTTCCCTTGTTCTTCAATTTCTACTCCCTCCCTCAACATGGTGAGTGCCACTGTTGCTCAGAATATGGTTGCCATACTCGGCAATCTCATCTCCTTCACCCTTTTCTTCTCTCCACTGTAAGCTATCTCTTGTTCCTTCTTTGTTTCTTACCCTTAACCATACACAATAATATTATTGTTTACATTTCTCTAATTCAGGCCAACCTTTTACAAAATCATAAACACCAACTCGGTGGAGGGCTTCCAATTACATCTTTACCTTGCAACCCTTCTAAACTCCATGCTTTGGGTGTTCTATAGAATGCCCTTTATTCACCCCGACCACATTCTGCTCCTCCCCGTCAATGTTATTGGCTTGCTTCTTCAACTCCTTTATTTAGCCATCTTCTTCAATTTTGCCCGTCACAAACAACGGGTATTTCTCTTTCATTAATTACTTCTTTTTCTTGTCATATTCATACTAACCACCATAATATAATTGGTGTTCATCTTATGATTTCAGAAGAAATTGGGTATTTGGGTTGTGATGGAGCTCATGTTTATGGCCATCATTGTTGCTATTACAATGCTTGTTTTGCATGAAACCAAAACTAGATCGCTGGTGATCGGAATTATTTGTAATATTTTCAATATGGTGATCAACATTTCTTCTCTCACCGGCGTGGTAAGTGATTTTGTTAATAACATATCATCATCCAAATTAAGAATTAATAATATCTTCATTGATTTGATTATAGATGGAGATGATAAGAACAAAGAGTGTGAAGCATATGTCCTTGGCTGTTTCATTCACAAGCTTCCTCAATGCGTGTGTTTGGACAGCTTATGCCATTCTCAAACATGATATCTACAGCCTGGTACCTATAATTGTGTCCACAAATGTTTATAAATAAATATATGGATATGATATGAATTGAATTTTGCAGATAAACAATGGTGTTGGAGTGATCTCAGGCCTTCTTCAACTCCTTGTTTATGCTTACTACTGCTAAATTGCTTCAAAACTTGACGAGGAGAAGGCAGAGAACATACCCGTGGATGGAGCAGATACAGTTTATTGATATGAAATGTGTTGTTAACAAATTTTTTTTTTTTTTTTTTTGTATTTTTAGATCCAATTGTGAGAGTGTTCTTCAATTCGAACTTGTTTTCTTAGATTCCTATAATTACGGTTGTATTTCTATATATATTGGAGGCGGAATTGGGTCCGGTGGGTCGGCTTGATTTTTCTCATCCACTTTGGATCCGACGCCGTTTAGCAGGTTTTTCCTTTTAGCTCTATTATTTCCCTGTTGTAATTCTGGGCGACCCAAAAGGAAAAGATTTAGGGTTTGAAATGTTTGAACTTTAAGTTATTAAATGAATTGTGTTTTTTTTTTTTTTTTTTTTGGCTTTT